GAATTGGTTCTGACCGATAGTGACCATGTATTGGGTTTCTGAGGAGCGGCTGGTGAGCTTGAATGGCTGACCTTGTGGTTCTGTCTGTACTGATAGTGTATGTTGTTGTTATTGTTGCTGTTAAGTGCCGTCGAGTTGATTCCAACCCATAGCGACCCTGTACAGGGTTTCCAATGCTGTAACTCTTAACAGGAGTAGAAAGCCTCATCTTTCTCCCACGAGGCGGCTGGTAGTTTCGAACTGCTGACCTTAGGTTTGCAGCCCGATTCGTAATTTTATAGTATGCCTAATAAAGGAGCCCTGGTGGAGCAATGGGTTAGGCGTTGGGCTACTAACAGAAAGGTAGGCAGTTCAGATCCTAGATTTAGTCTATGGGGCAATTCTGTTCTGTCTGCTACAGTCACCGTAGTTGGAATTTACTTGATGTCAGTGAATTTGTTTGGGGGGATGTTTAATAACACTTTGACCTTAAAATAGAATTGTCCATTTATTCTAACATTTCTTCTTACATTCTGTTTAATCTTGAATTTTCACTTTCCAGTGCAACTGGATTGCAGAGGTTAGGTTTAATAAACCAGAGCCTTTGTTTTGATTCTAATTTCCTGAAATATGCCTATCACTGGTATCAGCAGTTCCAAATTTCCTTCTAATTTTTATGTCAGAATACATGTGATTTCCAAACTTTGTTTTAACAACAGAGTTCTCTCCTGAAATATCATTTTACCCATTCCACGCTCAAACATGTGTTGTTGTTAAGCGCCATAGAGTCGGTTCTGATTCACAGCATAGGGTTTTGCCCAAGCAGAAAGGCTCATCTTTCTCCTGCAGAGCAGATGATGGGCTCGAACTTTCTACCTTGTGGTTCCCAATCCAGTGATTATCATACGGAACCACGAAACTCCCAGTTCCAACTCGGTTCCAACTCCTAGCGACCGTGTATAGGGTTTCCGAAGTGTGGCTGGTGAGTTTCAACCTCCGACCTAGCGATCCAGTGCTTATCCTACAGCGCTGTGCAGACTACGCACACACAAAAAATACAAAAAATAAGAGCGACTGGGTGCTGAAGACCTGGGGGGATGGGGGGGAGGGGGAGGATTGCATGGAGGGGATTGTAACCATGGCAATGAGAGACAATATACGATAGAATGAATGTAAAACTAATGTTCTCCCATGTAAACTATTACAAAATTCACAATAAAACATTAAACAAACAAAAAATAATGCGACTTCATTAAACACTTGGGTGATACAAGGAGAGACTACCAGAGACCTGGAGCGCCACCTGCTGGCTATCATTTCTCTATCCAAAAACAAACCAAACCAATTTGGGAAGCTGTAAATCTTTTCCAAATCACCTTTGTCCTGCAGAGCAGCTGGTGGATTCAAACCACTGTCCTTTTGTTAGCAGTCCACTGCTTACCCTGCAGCACCACCACAGCTTGAGTTTAGTCTGACTCACGAGGTCCTTATAACCACCCAGAGCAGAACTGCTCCTCAGGATTTCTGAGACTAAATCTTTATGGGAGCAAACACCTTCATCTTTCTTCTGAGGAGCAGCTGGTAGGTTTGAATCCCCAACCTGTGGCTAGCTGTCCAGGATTCTTAAAATCTACTTCACCAATCTACTTCATGTAACACTAAAAACAAACCAAAAACCTCATTGCTATTGATGTATAGTAGTGGTGGTTGTGTGCTGTCTTGTCAGTTCTGGCTCACAGTGACCTTGCATAGGCTTTCCAAGACAGTAAATGAGAGCAGATTACCTCATCTTTCTCCTGAGGAGCCGTTGATGGGTTTGAACTGCCACCCTTATGGTTAGCAATCCAGTGTTTATCCTACAGTGACACCAGGGTTCTACAATATTCAAATGACAGCAAAAACTCTGCTATACAAAAGTATACCACTATGTGATAACTCAAATTATATAAAAATTTAAATTTATCATAGAAAACAGATCTCTGAGTGTGCTCAGCTTTAACCAACTGCTAACTGGTTTGAACAGTTTGCACTCGGCTGCTAACTGGGTGATTTGAAGAAAGGCCTTGTGATTTGCTTCTATAAAGATTACAGCGAAGAAAACTCTATGAAACTCAGTTGTACTCTGTAACACATGGGGTCACCATGAGGCAGAATCAACTGGACAGCAACAGGTTTGGTTTTGGTTTTATCAAACAAAAGGCTCAGATATCAGAGCTGAATTAAGTCCGAAAATTAGATAGCTACGTCATGGTGCCCAATCTATCAAAGTCACCCGCCATCTCGTCACTGAAAATGGAGAAAAGTATATGGCCAAGAATGCTTCAGAAAGATGCATATGGTTGGTAAGGTGCCCATAATCTTTAAGGAATGTGATTCTAATTGGTGAGCTTTTGTTTTTCTGAGTAAGCAATTTGGAAATCAGAACTAAATTGTTTAGGACAATAGTACATTTCTCCTCATGGTGTTTAACCTCTCCTCTCAATGTCAAACATTTAATATCAACTGAAAAGGGTATAAATTGTTAACCTTCCTTGGATAGTCAAGTGTCTTCATATGGCTCCAATGTCAATATATATTCGAGTGTGGGTTTTTCAAATTTTGAATTAGCTCAAGGACTCCCTCTATCATGACATACCATTTTCAACTTGACATTGCAGTTTTAGACTTTTCTTAACACCCTAACTAGATTAGAAATTCCATGAAAGCAGGGACCATGTCTTTTTTATCTTTTATGTTCTTCAGTCTAGCATAGTAAAGTACTACTCTTATTAGATTAACTGTTTATAGAATGAATTCATTGATTGCTTCCTTCAAATAAGGTTGCTTCGAATCTTCTCTCTCCAAAACATTAGCTTCACCTTCAAACCTCACTTCTCTTCTTCTCAATTACTTAGCATTTCTTTAGTCACTGTTGGGTTGGGAATTATCTTAAATTATGTCAAAGTACTGGAGCTCAGACAGACCTGAACAGGTGTGAGGGACGGGGCTGCTGTAAGTCTATTTTAGTGAGGGGCCCTCACCCCTAGAGCCCAAGGGGAAAAAAAGAACAAGCAAGGTCAGCTTGACCCTGAAAAATAAAAGTTCTTTTTCATGTTGTTGTTAAATGCTATTGTCGTTTCTGACCCATAGTGACCCATAGGAGCAGCTGGTGAGCTTGAACCGCCAACTATGCAGTCTGGCGCATTAACCCACATTAACCCTGTACAGGGTTTCTGAGGCTGTAAATCTTTATAGAAGTAGAAAATCTCATCGTTCTCCCTCAGGGACGCTACAGTACATAAGAACTAAATTAATCAAGATGCTGGTGACTAAAAGAGAGTGAATGGGCCACATCTCAGAAATAGTAAAAGCACTTCCTTTTCTCCCAAAAGTATAAAACATAAAATGCTAGGCAGATAGTAAGCCTACTCAAGATGTGTCTGTTAAGTACTAAATTATTCTGAACTCAAATGTAGATTCTTCATACATGTAAACTTTAGATGGTAATGTGCTGGCTGCAGAGTCTTCTGAACTACATGGTTGGCAGTTTAAGCTCACCATCTGCTCCTTGGAAGCCTTATACAGGGTCGCCATGAGTTGGAAGCAACTCGATGGCACGTAACAACAATGAAACAGAAATACAAATACAAGAAAGTTCCTATTATAACACATTACCAATCCAGTTCATTTTGTTCATTCTGTGGTGTTTACTGAACCCTGGTGTGGTGCTGTAGGATAAGCACAGGGCAGTAATCACAAGGTTGGTAGTTCAAAACCACCAGCTACTCTTGGAAACCATAGACGGTCTCTATGAGTTGGAACCAACTTGATGGCACACAACAACAACATAGTATTCTCTTGCCACTTACTCTTTCATACTTCCGTGAAATGGAATTGCCTTTCTAAGGGTAACTCTATCTTACCTTAATAGTATCCAATTGCAATATGGACCATTCTAAGTCATTTAATTCATAAGCTTTGCAAATGGAAAATCACAGAGATGTCATTAACTGTACCTTACCCTTCATTATGTTCACCTTCTCCCCAAGTGAAATTGTAATCAAATGCACCTTGAATTATCTTATTTTTATAAAAGGTTTTTGCTTTTTTTTTTAAATGTTGTATGTTATTTTTTGGATATCCTTTGAAGGGGAAAAATCCTGACTCATAGCAATCCTATGCAGAGTTTCCAAGACTGTAAATCTTAATGGGAGCAGGCATCCTCATCTTTCTCCCGTGGAGCGGCTGGTGACTTTAGAGCCCCAACCTAACAGTTAGCAGCCCAACACCTAACCCGCGGCACCACCATAGCTCCTTTGGGATGTTGAATGTCCCTTAGGCTTGGAAAACAAATGATTTGCCTGTCAGGAAACATAAAATGACTTCAATATTATAAACTAAGACAGCAAACCATGTAAACACAAATATGATATTAATAAGAACCCTGAAAACTCAAAGATCTTAATATTCTTCTCACCCTCCTAAGTAACTCAAAGTTATTAAAGAGATAAATCTGATGTCTATTCAATACGTTGAACTGGGGGTGGGGAAGAACAAGAGAACTAGTAATCAAGAGTAAACAATTTCACATTAGGATGTGTTTCAAATATGTTATTAAATATTTCAGGAAAATAAGCTTATTTAGTTATTAATAATCAGATGCTGGAAAAACACAGAAAAAGGGTCCCCCAACAATAAACTCTAATGCCTTAATTTAAGTATTACTGGGTTGTATTTTGCTACCTACACACTGACTCCAAGTTTTACACTGACTCCAATTTCCACAAAAGGATGAAGGGGCTTCAAAAAGTATGTGGAAAATGGAACTTACAGATAGTAAAATTTTTTCACGTTACTTTTTGAAACCCCCTCATAATTGTTTTAAAGTTTACTCTGTATTTTCTGGGAAACTCTTCAAATAGAGTATCACTTTGCTATCCATGGAGTGAGAGATTTCCTTGTGAAATCTACAGATAGCAGACACCTCTCAAGATGTTTAGTAAAGATTTTCTTTCTCTTTTTTCAGAGACCATACTTGAAATATGGCTCAAAGCGCCTTTCTCTACCCAGAGAACCCAAAGAGGAGGCAGGAAGTAAACCGCCTTCACCAGCAGCTCCTTGATTGCTTATCTGACAGCTTCCAAGCCACCAATAAGCTGATTTGGGTTCTAAATATGCACTTGGGATGCAGGCTGGCCTCAATTGAGATGAAAAGAGATGGAACCATCAGAGAAAACTGTGATATCATCATTCAGGCCATGATGAACATTCAAAAGGAATTGCAAAAGGTTGACAAAGCACTAAAAGACAAACTAGAACCAACCCTTTATAGAAAACTTCAGAACATTAAGGAAAGAGAGACGGAGAAAATTGCAATCGTCCAAAAGGTTATTTCAGTCATCCTGGGAGAAGCCACTTCTGCAGCCAGTGCCGTGGCTGTTAAGCTCCTAAGCTCAAATGTCACAACGGGCATAATTAACCAGTTGGTCACAGTTTTAGCTCAAATTGGTGGCTCTCTCCTTGGTAGTATTGGAGTGGCTGTTCTTAGCCTTGGCATAGATATGATCTTTCGTGCTATCTTGGGAGCCGTGGAGAAAACGCAGCTTCAAGCAGCCATCAGAAGTTATGAGAATCATCTGATAGAGTTCAAGTCAGCCTCAGAAAAATATCAACATGCCATTACTGAGGTTACCAACACAGTGAAACGCCAAACAAAATGAACAACCATTTTGTCACTATTTTCCTGCTTCCCTGTCAGTGTTCTGCTTCATTTTTTCATTTTTCATTTTAAATTGTGAATTGGGTGGTTTACAGACCAGATCAATTTTCCATTCAACAATGTAAAATAGGTTCAAATTTCATATGCTTCCTATATGGACATAATAGGGTAGCCTCCTTGTGGATCAGCTGATGTAGGTTTATTCTAATTACCAGTCAAAAATCTTAAAATTTACATTGAATGCAGAGATTTACATTTCTACCCCTATCTTCAGTTCAGACATGATTTTTTTGTGTGTGTTTTTTGTTTCTTTATTATGAATTGAGTGAAAGTTTACAAGGCAGGTCATCAGTTTTACATTCAACAAACCACACACCTTGTTTCATTACAATAAGTATAATCCCCTCCATGTACCACCAAATAAAACAGTATCTCTCTCTATTCATTTTAGCTCTTTTTTTCTTTTCTTTTCTTTTCTTTTTTTTAAACACTCAGGCATATATAATCATTTATACCACCAAAGGGCACATTCTTCAAGTCTGCCTCTTGGCCACCAACTCTCAGTCCCTGTTTCCATGAATCTAGAGTCCTCAGCTGTCCCCTCTCTCCATGTCCCCATCTCTGCCTCCATCTCTGGTGTCGACATCATTTAGTTTTAAGGGGACATACTTAGTAAGTTCCTCTTTAGACACAACTCCCAGACTTTTGAATGGAATAGAAATATGACCATGTTTTTTACTATCAGATTAAATCCAATTGTTTGTAAACTGGAAGATATTAAATATTGGTGAGTACCAAGATGCTTTACCAAAGAAAAAAGGCCATGAATGGCTCCATAACCTACCAGCCACACACTACAGTCTGGGTCGAGTAAAAAGATCAAAATTAGAGCTCAGAATATAAAAGTTGTTTCTAGAATTGCAATTGACCCTGACCAACTTGTGGTGTGATAGTTAAATAACCATCAAGTAAATGACTCAACACTCTGGAACATTTCAAAACAAAATACATCCCGACTATAAATACAGGAGAGGCAGAACCTACTAGTCTTAAAGAATTTGTCATGTAAAGGAAAGTCATAAATTATTACAAGTTTTCAGAAAAATATAGTTATCTTTAATACTAGCAGAAAGGGGGAAGCTGCCTTTGATAGATGAAACTTTATATTCTTGAAATTATATAATTTCAAGAAAATTTAGATGCTATGGGAGGTCTAAAGAGTCATGGTGTGGCGCTTGGGCTAAGGAGTCAGATTGCAAGGTCGTTTGAACTGCAAAGTCGGTGGTTCAAGCTCACCAGCTAGCTGCACCTTGGAAACTCTATACAGGGTCGCTATGGGTCGGAATCGACTCGATGGCACGTCACAACAAGGAGCTCTGGTGGTTCAGTGGGTCACACGTTAGGTTGCTAACCAAAAGGTCAGCAGTTTGAACCCACTAGTTGCTCTTTCTTAAAGGCTTGGTGGTGGGTATGTGCTGTGGAGTCAGTTCCGACTCACAGTGACTCTGTACAGGGTTTCCAAGGCTGTAAACCTTTACAGGAGCAGAAAGCCTCATCTTTCTCCCACAGAACAGCTGGTAGTTTCGAACTGCTGACCTTGAAATTCGCAGCCCGATTCATAATCACTATGCTACCAGAGCTCCTTAAAGACTTACAGACTCATAAACTTTAGTGAACCCTGTCCTATTGGGTCCATGACAGTGGGATGGTCAACTAATTGTACAGTTGAAACTTAATGTCAAGTATTTATTTTCTAAACCCTTCAGCAACTAATATCTCCCAGATGAGATTCTTCTGGGTTCTACTCACAAAATTATTTTATGCTGTTGACAGGAAAATGTTTGATACAGTTGATTTTTGCAGTAAGTACAAGAAATGTCTTGAAATAAAAAATGTTCAGCACATTTCAAAATTTGAAAAGTTAAAAAGGTAAATGACTTTAACATCAAATCTGCTCTTCCTTTTTTTTCTTTCTCTTCATTGCAAAGCATCACAATTCAATTCACTTAACTTAAATTTCCTTTTTGCTTATCACCTGGTAGCTTTAACCTACAAGGCCTTGTTTTTGCTCTTTCAAGAACTCAAAATTCCGTGTATAGTCAAAACTAATAAAGAATTTAAGACAAATGTTAGTTTAGGTACAGAATTTACACCGGTAACTACATATTTAAATGATCTGCTGAAAAATGATTGGGTATCCTGGTGTGGCACTGTAGGATCAGCACTGCACTGAAACCACAAGGTCAGCAGTTCAAACCCACATGCTGCTCTTCGGAAACCCTATACTGGATCCCTGTGAGTTGGAACTGACTGACGGCACTAAACAACATTCCTGTCAATACTTTTAAAATTTTTAGTTGATATAATCTGCCTATATCTAATTTGTTCTCCTATACGGGTATTTTATTTAAGATCAGAAATAACAAAATCTTCCTATAGAAGACTTTTTAATATATATATATATTTAAACTTACCTTTAAGTGGGGAAAAAGAGGGGGAGGACTTTCAGGAAGTGTTAAGGGAAGAGACACCGGAAGGAAATGACAAACATGAGACAACTGAATAATCCGATGTGTACAGTGACATCATAGAGGATACTGTTGTTAAATGCCATCCAGTGGATTCCGACCCATAGCGACCCTATCTGTACAGGGTTTCCGAGGAGCAGCTAGTTAGTTTAAACCGCCCACCTTGCGGTCCAGCGCATTATCTTCGCAGCGCCGGGTGAAAAGACCAGTTGGAAAAGAAATCAATGTAAACCAACCTCGTCATTCGTCAGTTTAAAATTGATTGCACGCGTATCCTCTCATTTCCTCTTCCCAAAATAATCCTGTAGGTTTGTAATCTGGGACCCCAGTGGGGGTGCTAATTTGTTATCTACAAATACTTTGCGTCTATAAAACATATAGAATTTATAAACGGACCAGGTGCCCACATTAAAATATATATATATAGTTGTTGTTGTTGCTAAGTGCCGTCGAGTCGGTTCCGACCCATAGCGACTCTGTACAGGGTTTCCGAGGCTGTAAATCTTTACGGGCGCAGAACGCCTCATCTTTCTCCCGCGGAGCGGCGCTGAAGGATAAGCACTAGACCGCAAGGTCGGTGGTTCAAACCCCCCAGCCGCTCCTCGGAAACCCTGTAACAAGGTCGCTATGTGGCGCTGTGGGTTAAGGCGCCAGACTGCAAAGCCCTTTGAACTACAAGGTCGGTGGTTCAAGCTCACCAATTGCTCCTTGGAAACCCTATACAGGGTTGCTATGGGTCGGAACCGACTCGATGGCACTTAACAACATGAGTCAGAAACGATCCGTCGGCACACAACAGCAACTTAGTGCCGATGAGTCGTTTCCGCCTCATAGAGACATTGTGTAGGATTTCCCAGGCGCAGTTGGTGGGTTTGAACCACCAACCTTGTTACGTGCAAGTCGGTTCGGACTCACAGCGACCCGGTATATATCTATTACGAAGAGTGTCTGGTGGGTTTGAACCGACCTTGCGGTCCAGTGTTTATCTACAGGGCGACAAAGGACTCTTAATAAGAAATAGAGAAACCTAAAAACCGCGCACCAATCCAGCACCAGAATGAGAAACAGTCCTGACAACATTCGTACTTCCAACGTAGGTTCTACGGTGGCGCAATATATGGCGCTCCCGGAAATTAGGTAGTTGCATTCCCCGGCAGGGCAGACCTTGCGTCGACCAATCAGACATCTGCCTTTCCTCCCACTTCTGGAGTCTATTGGATGAGGAAGTGTCACTCGACGTGTAGTCTTTCGTATTGATTAAAGGGGCGGGCTCCTGCCGAAAACCAACCAATTCGGTATTGCATTGTAGAGGGAACGATTTGGTCACGGAATTTTGGGCTACTCTGTACGGTTCTATCCAAAGGAAACGCTAAGAGACCGTCGGCCCGAAGAGACAGGAAGTGACGTGAGGCCGGCGGAGGGGCGCGAGGTTTCAAGATGGCGGTGGCTGGGTGGCTGACCGAGAAGCAGGGGTGAAGGCCCCTACGAAGCAAAAAAAAAAAAACTAGGAATCGCCCCTGCCCCCTCTTCGCAGTACTGGGATCCCAACAGAAGTGTGAGTGAGCGGGATTGCCCCACTCCGCTTCTTCCCGTCTCCCGTCCCTTTCAAGGCCCCGCGCGGCTGCCTCAGGTGTTCTAGGCCCCTGCTCTTCTTTGCGTGGTTGGGGTCTTCAGGGTCGCGGACTACGGGACCGCTGGGCCTGGTGCGGTTTGTGGCTGCGATTAAGCATGTGACTTCACCGGGGTCGGTTAGCGCCGCTTCTTGAGCACGTTGACTGATTGCCTTAGGATTGACGTCTAGTTCCTCGAGTCAGGGTCAACCGTCGCTATGGTTCCGACAGTTACTGCTGCTGTTGTCCCCTTGGTGCATGTGGACTCCGTTCTGTCGGAGCCTCTAGCTGTTTAGAGTTCCTCGTCGTTTAGTGGCCTGGTTCCCCGGCGGCCTCTACTTTTAGACGAAAAAAAAAAAAGATTAATTTGTGCAGACTAAGACTCCAGGCTAAAGGTTCCTTGTAATTATGTTCTCTGTACCTGTTTTATGTTACACTTGTGGGGAGAAGAAGGGAACACGAGCCTTGGGATAATTACGAGGAAAACAAAAAAGAAACGGACTATCAAAAGATAGGAGAACTTGTGTTTGCTCGTCACTTTGCTTGTTCTTTTTCCTACTCTTTTTTCTAAGAAACACTGACCTGTGAAATTAGTTGCCGCTGGAAAAGATCGGAAGATTCTCACAGAATCAAGGCATGAAAGGCTTAAAGCTTTCTTTTTTAAAACTTAGTTTTGCCAACTCTCGTTTAGTGTTATATGGTTTCTTTTTCCTTAAGATGCATAATTTTTTGTGAAAACCTTTTTAAAGAGTGGGTGGGAAAGTGTGATTGGATTGTCTACTCCAAATTTAACGTTGTTACCGTCCCCTTTTTCATCCTTGCAGAAGGGAGGAAATTTGTGAACCTTCATTATTAGGGAAAGTGCTACGTTTCAAAAATGCTTTTCCTTTTGAAATGATGGGGGAAGGAATAATCTGAGTGTCTTCAAACTCACGGCTGTGGAATTGGTTCTGACTCATAGCAACCCTGTCTAGGAGACCTGATGTGGCTCTGTCTGATCAGCACTGAACTGTGGGCCAGATGTTGCGAGTTCAAACCCACCAGCCGCTCCTTGGAAACCCTGTAGAAGGTCGCTATGAGTCAGAACTGACTTGGCAGCCCTAACAACAATATAGAGTTCCCGAGGCAGTAAGTATTTATGGGAGCAGAAAGCCTTTTCTTTTTCCACCCTGGCTGGTGGATTTGAACTTCCAACCCTGTGGTTAGCAGTCAAGCACCACCAGGGTATCTTAGTATCTTATCTTAGATTAATGAACATTTTGGCTTACAAAATATTTGCCCTAATACAGTTACCTTCCCAGTTACTTTTTAAAAATACAAATCAGGAGTAAAGTAGGTATGTGTATGAGAAAAATCTGTATCTTAATGGTTATTATTATTTAGCATCGAGTTGGTTCTGACTCAGAGCGACCCTGTATAGGGTTTCTGAGGAGCAGCTGGTGTGTGTGTACTGCCAACCTTGTGGTTCGTAGTCCAGTGCTGATCCTACAAAGTATTGAAAATTATGCAAAAGCTATTCCTTGGTGCTGTAGGATCAGCACTGTACTGTTAACTGTCAGGTTGGTGGTTCAAACCCACCAGATGCTCCTTGGAAAACTATACCGGGTCACTATGAGTCATAGCGTAATGGTTACAAATCTGGCTGCTAACCTCAAGGTCGGCAGTTCGAAACTACCAGCTGTTTCGCGGGCGAAAGATGAGGCTTTCTGCCCCTGTAAAGATTTGCTGCCTCGGAAATCCTGTGCAGGGTCACTATAAGTCAGAACCAATTTAACAACAATTTGTTAGCACAATACTGATTTTGAATAGTTGCATTTTAAATTATGTTTTCAAATTCGTACTTGAAAATCAAGAACTATATCTGAATTAAATATGCCTAAATTGCTGTCTTGAAGGTTTTGAGAATATGCAACATAATGTCAAGAAAAACCATAGAGAGAGACTTGGGTAACTATTTGTCTTTGAGCCCAGATTTTATTTCATTCCCTTTACTTTGTTTTCATCCTTCCCATCTAAATAAAAGGAAAAGATAGGATAAGAACTAATAACTTCTATTCTGTTGGTGGCTTGTGCTTTATTGTTGATCTTTTCCAAGTGACAGTAAATACTGTAATCCATAACAAAAAAGTTAAATTGGAAGATCTAATTTGGGGTATTCAAGAAAGCTAAGGCCATCTTTCTTGGACAATAACATCAAAACAGCAAGAATCACAGGAATGTTTCTTGTCTGAGATGAATGAACTCTAGTAGGAAAAAATCTTATAGGGAAAAAATAATTGATTTCTTTGTTTTTTTCAGGTTTTGTTTTCTTTTTTTTAATAACAAGTAAACCATACAAATTGCCATCATGGGACGGAGGTCTACATCATCCACCAAGAGTGGAAAATTTATGAACCCCACAGACCAGGCCCGTAAGTGTCCATTAATGTGGAATGATGAAGCAAAGATTAAAGAATGGTAAAAATTATAGTATCTGAATTATATATTTCAAATTTCACTGATCTATAATGTCGAAGAAAGAGTTTAAAGCTCTCTTTTGAAATTTTGACCAAGTTAGTTTTGCGAACTCTCGCTTAGTGTTTTCATGGTTTCTTTTTCCTTCGGGTTCATTTTTACTTTAAAATGTTTTGTTGTAAATTGATTGAAAGTTTATAGCGCAGATTATGTTTTATATTCAACAAATCATACAGTATGTTTTATCTCATTGATTGCAGTTCCCATAATATATCCTCTCACATATCCCACTTCCTCCTTGTATTTCTTGTTTCCATTCCTCCTCTTTTCCCATCCCTTCTAAATATTGTCCTTGGGTAAATGCTGTCCTTTTTCATTCTATGGTATGCATACCTCGCTAACGTTGTCCCCCTTATATACCTGTCTATTGCTTGACTAAAAATTGAGCTACAGTGGTGAGTTCAGTTTCAGACATGAAGAGTGATTAAGGGCCATAATCTTGGAGTTCCGCTAGTTTACCTGGCCAGTAAGCATGGTCTTTTTTAAGATTCTGAGTTTTATTCCACATTTTCTCCCACCCCTTCCAGGATCCTTTTAGAGCAGTTGGTACTGGTAGGCTGCTCATGAGATCTTAAGTCCCTAGTCCCAAGTCACCAATGGAGAATGTAGAAAATTATAATTATTTTTAAAAAAACTTAAAAATGTCTCGACACTTTGTATTGTCACAGTCAGGGGTATTACTGACATAACGCTCTGGAGTTCCTGGGTAGTGCACCCAGCTGTTAACCAAAAGGTTGGAAGTTCAAATCTACCTAGAGGCAACTTGGAAGAAAAGCCTAGAGATCACCTTTCCAAAACTCAGCCATTGAAAACCCTATGGAGTAGAGTTTTACTGACACACTTGGGGTTGCCATGAGTCATTCACAAGACAACTATTGCCTGATCTAAGCCATGGTATCTTCAGTAACCTTCATATGCATGTGAAAGTTATACAGTGAATAAGGAAGACTATAGATGAATTGATGCATTTGAGTTATGGTGTTGGAGGAGAATATTGAAAGTACCATGGACTGCCAAAAGCACAAACAAGTCTGTGTTGGAAGAAGTACAGCCAGAATATTCCTTGGAAGCCAGGATGGACAGACTTTGTCTCTCATACTTCAGACATAGTACCAGGAAGAAAAGGTCCCTGGAGAAGGAAAGGATATGATATATGTTTGGTAAAGTGGAGAGTCAGAGAAAAAGAGGAAGACTCCCCCCCCCCCCCCCCCCCCCACCAGTAGATACGCACAGTGGTAGTAGCACCGGGCTCAGGCATAGCAACGATTGTAAGGTTAGTGCAGTTCCAGAAAGTGTTGGGTTCTAATGTGCATGTGAGTTGGGACTGACTCAATGGCACCTAACAAGTGTTTAATAGAAGCCAGCTGCTGCTGCATAACATCAACAGAATTCCAACTCATAGTGGTCTGTATAAGGTTTCTGAGGCTATAAATCCTTACGGAAGCAGAATACCTCATCTTTCTCTCCAGGAGCAGCGGGTGAATTTGAACTGCTGATTGTATGGCTAGCAGCCAAATGTGTAACCCACTACCCTACCAGGGATGCTTGGTAGAGGCCAGAGATGCTGCTAAGTATCCTACATTGCACCAGACAACCTCCTACAACAAAACAAAAAAGATGTAACTGCAGTTGTTAGTAGTGCCAAGGATGAGAAAGAAACCTTGTTATTAACCATAAAAACTTAAGATATTATATGTCCTCCTGACCTAAATTAAGGTCTTCTCACAGTTAAAAAACCTGGACTAAATTCATTGCTAATATTCAATATTTGAAAGTCTTTTATTTCTCCTTCTCTATCTTTTAAAGGAAAGGAAGCCCGGAAAAGAGAATTAAAAAAGGTAGGATTTCAAAAGCACCTTGGTGAGCTATAAGTGCTATTTGACATATCTTGTTATTTGGGATTAATGAATTTTAAAATACTTGCAGTTATTTATCAGAAAGGATACATTATGCTTCTTAGAACAAATCATAAACTAAGTAATTTGAAAACTACATATAAATGTGTGTATTACTATTTAAACAGCTGCTGTGTTTAAAGCTTAGTGATCAGTGAATAGAAATAATAATGTTAAATATCTTTGTTACTGTATTTTCCTACTAATATGACTGTTGTATTTGTGGCAAAATGCTTCCCAAGAAGTTCTTTCTTACTATCATACTACATTGAAGAAATTCAGATATTAAAAGTTATTCTCTTGTGTTTTCTTGTTTGTTGTTTAGAATTGAATCCTTTTTATTTCCATTCTTCATTGTCCTTTCATTATTTAGTAAAACTTTTCCCTAATTTTAGAACTTAGCGGTAACCGTTGTTTAAAAAAATTTTTTTTAAGTAACTGCTAAAGATCTCATTTAAACAAAGATATTTCCCCAAAAAAGTAATATTTATTTATCTTTTTTATAAAAGTGGAAGCACTTTTTTTAAGAGCAAAAAAAAAAAATCATATAGCTGTTTCTGGTGATTGACACAATCAGAAACCAAAGAGGAAAATCATAATTCAGTTTAAATAGATTATTAAAGCAAATTAAAACAAAAACGCTTGAACATCTAGCTTCTTAACATTCCTTGTTTCATTTTTCTCAAGAACAAAAAACAACGTATGATGGTACGAGCTGCGGTTTTAAAGATGAAGGATCCCAAACAGATTATTCGTGACATGGAGAAATTAGATGAAATGGGTAAGAATTTATTAAAAGGTTAGATTTTATTGCTGTTATAGTAATTTGATACTTTCAGGGGTAGGCAGGTAATAAGTAAAGTTTTAAGAACAGATAAGTGTAGTGCCTTTTGACACTTGGCTTTAGTGTCAGAAAGACAGACATAGGAGGTGGCAGGAGGCTAATGTAAACTAGAGAGCTCATTTTCAAGAATAAAAAGGAAACCCTTGTTTTGCTTCAGCTAATTATTAAAAGGTAATGAAAGCCTGTTAGACCAGCTCCCTTTTCAATAGAGTACTAAAATCTGATCTATGAAATTTCCTTGTTCTTTTGTGTGTGTTTTTGTTGTTGTTGTTAGGGTTTTTTGGGCAGATGTTTGCTTGGTTTTTCAGTGTTGCTAACTACCATGTGAATAAGGTAATTTTTGTTTACCAGTGAGAAGAGCCAAAAAGATATTTGACCATTTAGTAAGGATGTGTAGAAGAAATCATCACGTATTTTAAATTAGATTATACAGATTGTATATTTTAGGAGTCACCTACCCCTTTCACATGTCATGCAGTACTTTGACACTCTACATATGCATCTTCTAGTGTCAGTCTTTGTTATTACTAAGGAGCCTTGGTGATGCTATAGGATAAGCACTGGATTGGTAACTGCAAGGTCGACAGTTCAAACCCACCAGCCACTCATGGAAGAATGATGAGGTGGTCTGCTCCCTTAAAGATTTACAGCCTTGAAAACCCTATGCAGGGTTGCTGTGATGAATTGGAATCAACTCGATGGCAATGGATTTGGTTTGATTAATCATTATTAGAATTGTGTGATAATGACAAGATATCTTAAGTTGATTGAGAATTACCTATATATTGTTTACACGGGAAATTTTTTCCCAACCCAAAATATCTATTCTGATAACATTAACACAAGAGAGCCTTTGGAGCTAACCTGTCAAGAGTTCAGTCAGGCTGCATGATCCCAAATCATTTTCAATTTAGCTATAATTGGTACTCATAGTTGCCTTTACTGTAAATATCAGTATGGACAATTGCTGCCCCTAAGGTATCATGCTTCTTGTTGCCAGTTGTTAAGTGCCATTGAATTGGTTCCAACCCATAGCCACCCTGTATAGGGTTTCTGAGGAGCGGCTGGTGAACTTGAATTACCTACCTTGCAGTTCAAACCAACTTTGCGGTCCAGCACATTAACCCACAGCACAACACCAGAACAGTGACCCTATAAAGGGTTTCCAAAGCTATAAATCTTTGCAGTAACAGAAAGCCTCATCTTTCTCCCATAGGGCAGCTGTTGGGCTCAGACGGCCTATCTTATGGTTAGAGGTCCAGTACTTACCCTTCAGAGTCACCACTCTCCCAAGGTATCATGCTGTTTAGTTGTTATGTGCCATTGAGTCAGTTCTGACTCATAGCAACCATGTTAAGGATTTCCAAGGACTGGCTGGTGGGTTTGAATCACCAACCTTGTAGTTAGCAGTCCAGTGCTGATCCTACAGCGCCATACAAGGACTTCAGGTGTCTGCTACTTGTCTGTTAAATAACCTAAAATTGATTTAAGTTGTTTTAAAAGTAATAACAGACTTATTGAGCACTTAACCTTGCTATGCACTCATTTTTTTTTTACCCTCAACAGCCTTTTAGGATAGGTATATTGTCCCCATGAAAACAGACACAGAATGATTTGATAAAGTGGCAGAGCTAGAATTAGAACTCTGGCCTTCAACACTTTACTCACATGCTATATTTTAAATAATGTAATGCAAGAATAATGAACTTTTTGGACTTGAATAAATTACCACGGTTAATATTTAAGCAAAATAACATTTGTGTGTATGTCATTTTCTAATGTGCTTTTCCCACTCAGAGTTTAATCCAGTGCAACAGCCACAATTGAATGAAAAGGTTCTAAAAGACAAGCGTAAAAAACTGCGGGAAACCTTTGAACGTATTCTAAGACTCTATGAAAAAGAGAATCCAGATATTTACAAAGAATTGAGAAAGCTTGAAGTAGAGTATGAACAGAAGAGGGCTCAACTTAGCCAATATTTTGATGCTGTTAAGGTAACCAAGTTTCTTTTGAAAGAAATGAAAAATTATGTTGAGATAGCTCCTAAAGCTTACTAGAAGAATTACATAAATCTGTTCCTCCTGGCAGTTTATTTTTAAATTAAACTTGTGCCTACCCTATGAGTCAGTTCTACTCTTAGGTATTTATACAAGAGAAGTTAATCTATTTGGTAACACATACTAGCCAAAAATTGAGAACAGTCCAGGTGGCCATCAGTAGAATAATAGATTTTTTTTTTTTTTTAATTCTGATCCTGACTCATTGTGACCTTTAGAACAGTAGAACTGTCTCAAGGATAATCGCTAGGGAAACTGACTGCCATCTCTTTTCCATGGATTAGTTGGTGGGTTCACTCTAACAACCTTTCAGTTAGCAGCTGAGCACTTAACCATCAGGACTCCTTAATGGATAAACAAGCTCCTATATACAGTTCTTTACAACGCAGCAATAAAAAAGAAATGATTTGCTGATAACCAGAATAACATGGATAAATCTTTAAAGCTTGCTCAGTATGAAATTCTAGAGCAAGAACACTAATCTATGGAGGAAAATAATTTGTAAAGTAAGTATTATGGGTCACATTTTACAGTTGAAGGAAACGAGTTTGGAGAAGTATAGAAAGTTGTTCAGTGTCATAAAGCTGGTACACAGCAGAGATTCTACCCAGGCAAATTAATTTTAGAGCCTAAGTAGAATAATCGTTGGGCTAACTGTAAGGTAGGCAGTTCAAACCCACCAGCTGTTCCACAGGAGAAAGATGGAGGCTATCAGTGCCTGTAAAGTGTTAGAAACGTTAAGGAGCAGTTCAACTCTGTCGTGTCCTATAGGGTTACTATGAGTCAGAATCTACTTGATGACAGTTTGGGATTTTTGTTTGTTTGTTTTTGTATTCTAATATCTAAAATATTCAATACAGTAGCTTTGGTGCCAGGTACTTTAACAGTTGAGTTTCTCTAAACAGCAGTTATTTCAAATCATAACCAGAAAGAATCTGTTGATAAGAGAGCAGAAAAATAGCTGAATTTGGGTGCGGTTTTTTTTTTAGAGGAGATACAGATTTCTTTAAATTTTTTGTTAGTCTTTGGAAGTCTAGAGACTGTATTCTTGTTTTTTTTACATGATGTTCATGTTGTATAGCAAGCAAATCCAGGTTCTGAAGCTGCTGACAGTACATTTTTAGTGTTAAGCTTATGAATACTCTTAGCATAATATTGAAAATTTATCTCTTTCAGAATGCTCAGCATGTGGAAGTTGAGAGTATTCCTTTGCCAGATATGCCCCATGCTCCTTCCAACATCTTGATCCAGGACATTCCACTTCCTGGTGCTCAGCCACCCTCCATCCTTAAAAAGACTTCAGCGTATGGGTAAGGAAGCACTGTCATAATCAAATAATATTTATTAGAAGCACCTCTTGACTTTCTAGTACTGAAATATATGCAGTGGGAAGTAAAAGACATTGATTGGCTTAAATGTTACTATTTTGTAGTTACTATAAAATTTTATTTACAGACCACCAACTCGGGCAGTCTCTATACTTCCTCTTCTTGGACATGGTGTTCCACGTTTGCCCCCTGGTAGAAAGCCTCCTGGTCCTCCCCCTGGTCCACCTCCTCCTCAAGTGTTACAAATGTATGGCCGTAAAGTGGGCTTTGCCCTAGATCTTCCTCCTCGTAGGCGAGATGAAGATATGTTATATAGTCCTGAACTTGGTAAGGAGTGACTGTGTTACTTTTGCTCTCATTGTCTTTTTGCTGTTGTATTTTATGTTGGCCCTATTTGCATTGCTCTTCACTATCAGAACTTAGGAAATACAGGAAGGTGCCAAAGTAAAAACATACATAAGGAAGTATAGAAATGTTGGTTGTGCTTCAGATTTTACTTTCAAGATGTTACTGTCTTAATACTTGCATCAGTCAGTATCTTAAGACTTGCCCACCTGTTGCCTTTTGATTTTTATTGTCCTCAGATTAGTGTCATTGTATACAGTCAGTGACTTTTTTGTATGTGTGTGTGCCCCTGATTCTTCATTTGTTTTCCGATCATATTTTTCTCTATTTCTGGGTACCATGTAGTAGAGAACTCAAACCCTTATTTTTTCTGCGCTCTCCCTTCTCAGCTCAGCGAGGCCATGATGATGATGTCTCTAGCACCAGTGAAGATGATGGCTATCCCGAGGACATGGATCAAGATAAGCATGATGACAGCACTGATGACAGTGACACTGACAGATCAGATGGAGAGAGCGAGGGGGATGATTTCGTGCACCGTGATGATAATGAAAGAGACAACAATGAAGAAAAGAAGTCTGGTATGTGCAGATGGACGTTTATGGTATTGATAAGTAGTGTGTAAATTGAATGTCCTAATGTACTAAGGAGCCCTGATGTGGCGCTGTGGGTTAATGCACCAGACTGCAAAGTCATTTGAACTGTAAAGTTGACAGTTCAAACTCACCAGTTGCTCCTCAGAAACCCTGTACAGGGTCGCTATGGGTCGGAATCGACTCAACAGTGCTTAACAACAATAACAACGTACTAAAGTATTTATAAAAGTAATTTTAAGCTTCTTCAAAGCAGGGACTGTTGCACAATTCAGCTTTAAATCTTTAGGATTTCAAAGTTTTTGACATGTAGGTAAAAGTCCACCCTTGGAAAAAAGATATAGGTAACTGTTCAAAAAGATAAAGGTGGAACCTCCATAGGTATGTTTAGAAATGACAAGACTGACCACATGAAGATACGGAAAACACCACATTCATGTTGAGTTGTCTTGTCTTTTAATATATCTGCATTTGAAACCATTTGATTTTTATGTTTATAGTATCTTACATAAAACATGGATCATAATTAAAAGTCAGGTAGGCCAAGCGTGGTATGGTGGGAATTTACTTGAAGTGTATTATGTACTAAGTGCATATTATATGTTTATTTGATTGTTACAAATTCAAACTGAGTTACATACTTTTAAAAGAAAGTGATCACATTCAGTCTTCACTTTCTTTTAAAAGCTTTTATTAGAGAACTGAATGTAAGTACTGAATGTAAATACAAAACATACTAGTTGTGTCTCACCTCAATTGTGTGGAGCCTCTTTAGAATTGTGTTTTGTAGCATACCACACAGTCTGTAGTACTGATAATGATAACCTTTTCTCCTGGTATTTCTTCAGTAAAGTAATTTTAAAAGGCACTAGAGAGGACTGACAACAAAAGATACAGAGGCCTTTTACATTGCACTGGTGCTAGAAAGTAGAAAGCAATTTCAACCACAGCCACTCCATTTCTCTGTAGGACTGCTTTGTCACTTGCCTCCTCCATTTTCCCCTTTCTGCAGACTGGTTTATTTTCAAGCATATTCATCAGCACACATCTGCTGAAAATGACCATCCTAATTATATATACTGAGGTTTTACTACATGCAAGGCATTTTTCTAGGCACTAAGGATTGTTGTTAAGTACTGTCAGCTCACTTCTGATTCATAGCAACCCTGTATAGGGTTTCCAAGGAGCAGCTGATAAGTTTGAACCACTGACCTTGTGATTCAAACTGACTTTGCAGTCAAGTGCTTATCCTACAGCACCACACTAGGCACTAAAGATACAAGGGTAAAAAAATAAAATAAACTTCTGGTCTTTTTCACATGGAATTAATATACACTGCCAAGCCAGCGTTTCAAGCTCACCAGCTGCTCCTTGGAAACTATACAGGTTCGCTGTGGTCACTATGGGTTGGAACCAACTCAGTGGCACTTAATGACAATAATCTTAGTTCTTAAGGCTGTTCTAACGGAGTGGCTTTTAAGTACAGAAATGTATTTTCTCACATTTCTGGGGGCTTAAGAACCCAAATCAGACTCTGGGCCATGTCAGTTTGTCCTGTGAGCGTCTTCTAATTATGGTGTCTCCTAGTGATTCTTGGTGTTTGTTGGCTTGTAGATGACCCTCACGAGATGTCTGTGTATCTCCTTGTGTATATCTCTGAACCTCTTCTGTTCTTTTTATAACACAGAAGTTCTATTTCCAAATAGGGTCATTTTTACAAGTACAAGGGTTGAGATTTTAACATGAATTTTGGGGATACCCAATTCAATCCATAACATCCTCTTGTGTTTATCCATTTGAGAATGCACCATTAAGCCTGGTGTTTATAGTGGATAGCCTTCGTTGGATTCAGTTTGTTTGTATTTTAGTTGAGTCATTAACTTGGTATCAGAGCTGTGTTGCTTCATGAGTTGGATAGCATTCCATTTTTTCATATGCCTTCTAACAAGAAATTTCTGCAACTTGAAATTAACCTTGGTTTCATTTTCTTATAAACATTGTTGGGCCTGGTGCCTTTTAAGGAGTAGAGCTTTGACTACTATTTTAAATGTATGTATTCTGTTCTTATCATTGCTTTTACCAATTGCAATAATTTAAATTTTTCTAAAAATTTACTCTGATCTGGGTTTTCAGTTTTATTGGAATGAAAGTTCATAATATTCTATTATATACTCCTATATTTGCCACTAGGTTGACTCTTCATGTACTATAACTTAATGTGACTATTTCTTCCTGTGCCAGCTAGTAAGTAGCAGTTGTACTAGTATGTTATAGTATTTCTCATAGAATAAGCATTTGCTGAATTTTATTGACTCATACCCACCTGACTCTTTAGGGCTGAGTGTGCGATTTGCAGATATGCCTGGAAAATCAAGGAAGAAAAAGAAGAACATGAAGGAGCTGACTCCTCTTCAAGCCATGATGCTTCGAATGGCAGGTAAGTCGGGGGAAGAATAGCGAATCATCTTTTAGTATTTCTTCATGTCACTTGCTTTACATATACGTTTACATTTAATATCTCATAAATCCTGAAGTAAGTAAGTAGTATTTGTTTTACTTATTTAAGGCTTGCAGACATTAAGGTAGGTTGCCCAAAGTTGCACAGCTAGTAAATATTTAAGCTAACTTGAAAATCCAGGTATGTCTTACTCTAAAACTTGGTTTCTTGGGCACTGTGCTATAAATGCTATTTGATTCTTCCACATTTAAATATCTTATTTAAGAAGACTTGTTAATTTTTAAGAATGCTTTTATTGAGCATTTGTCCTCAGGCATTGCTGTTGTATAGGCTGTACAAATTGAATCAACTCCATTGACCTGATATAAAATTTCTTTCAGGCCAGGAAATCCCTGAGGAGGGACGAGAAGTAGAGGAATTTTCAGAAGATGATGATGATGATGATTCTGATGATTCTGAAGCAGAAAAACAATCACAAAAGCAACATAAAGAGGAATCGCTTTCTGATGGCACATCTACTGGTTCTTCACAGCAGCAGGCTCCTCCACAGTCTGTTCCTCCTCAGATACAGGCACCTCCCATGCCAGGACCACCACCCCTTGGACCACCACCTGCTCCACCTTTAAGGCCACCTGGACCACCTACAGGCCTTCCTCCTGGACCACCACCAGGTAAGAACTTACATAATGTGAATAAATGTCAAATGTATTCAAGTCAAATTAGGTAAGAGAAGTGAAGTCACTCCCGAAAATGTCATCTATTGTATTGAGGTCTTTTGTTTTCTTAGTGGAATTCTGCAAGAAATAAGGATTTTTGAAGGATAAATGAAACTTCCTATTTACTATAGCATTTGTTTGCAGCAGGATAGCACTTCTGACAGCCACCTGTTTTTATGTGGGTTATTCCTTTGTAAGGATTCTTGAGTTCTGATTAAGGAGCTCTGGTAGCATACTTGGTTATGAATCCGTCTGCTAGCCTAGGGTCAGCAGTTTGAAACCACAAGAGAAAGAATGAGGCTTTCAGCTCCCATAAAGATTTACAGCCTTGGAAACCCTGTACAGGGTTGCTGTGAGTCAGAACTGACTTCACGGCACATAACCACCACCAGCAGTTCTGATTACAACAGGCAGAAACTTGAGCATGAGCTTTCTTTAGCACTGTATAATTTGATAGTTTGACCCAGTTTTCAGTCGGTACCAGGTGAGAACAGGGCACAGTTAATTGCCTTGTGCTTTTCTTAGGTTGGTAATAGTTAGGTATCAGTATAATCGCTATAGTTAGAAACAGGGTGATCAATAATATCAAGTTTTCTGTGTAACAGTGTGAAAAGCCTATTTGCAATTCAGAACATCATATAGATACTTTTTGGGCTATTTTAACTGGTCCTTCATTTTTGATTGTGCAGAATTGCCTATCTTCTGTCATTATCAGTGGTTATTATCTATCTCTTAATGAGTTTTAGGCTGTCTTTAAAGCACCTTGCTTTATAATTCATTGTCTGTTTGTATAAACCATTTAGGAATTCTCATCTTTGTGTAATTTTAACCAAGCAGAACTGTGATTGAATATGTGTTTTGTCATTGCTGGAAAATAAATGACCCATATCAAATTCAGTACCATCTCTGGTATGGCTATTTGTTTCCACAAATGTTTTTGATCAGTTTTGGGAATTACCTGATTTCAGGTTAAAGTGGTAGACCATATTTGAATTCTTTTATACCACCAATTATTGTTTTATTTGTATTTGTTTGACACTAATGGGTCGTTTTTCTCTTGTCAGGAGCTCCTCCATTCCTGAGGCCACCTGGAATGCCAGGACTCCGAGGGCCTTTACCCCGACTTTTACCTCCAGGACCACCTCCGGGCCGACCCCCAGGTCCCCCTCCAGGCCCTCCTCCAGGTCTGCCTCCTGGCCCTCCTCCCCGAGGCCCTCCTCCAAGGCTACCTCCCCCTGCACCTCCAGGTAAACCTCTCCATTTCCATGATAAAGAAGGTATTTCATCTGCTTGAAGGCCTACTTGAACATTTATTATTCTGAAATCAAGATGTATCTTATCATTGATGTTAGTTTTTAATTGCTGTCAACTTGGATGAAAGTTGAGGTCTTCTTCCAAAGACTATTGACATTTTGGGGAACTTCATTACAAATTGCCCCATATCTGCATAAGGACCATCAATCACAGGGTAGATTTTCTTTGTCCCCTTCCTCATTTCTTCCCAGTGCCAGGGTTAGACATGTATGTTTCCTTGTTATATTTTTATTTGTGGCTATTTCTAGTTTACTACAGTGAATGTTCTAGCCTATTGTGAGTGAAAGTCTCTTTTAAAGTTTCCCAGCTTGCACTTTATATAGGATAATCACACATTGTTGTGATCATTTGCTTCTTAGAAATTAGTTTGATGAAGTATGGTTACTTTATATTTAATCTTTAAAGTTGGAGTTTAAGGAAATTATAATCTAGGTTTCTTGGTCTATGGTGATGATATGTCTGAACCATCAATAAAACAAGTGTTCTTTTCATAGGATAAACACTAGACTGCTAACTGCAAGGTCAGAGTACAAACTCACCAGCCACTTGTTGGGAACCCACCCTGTACAGGATCACGATGAGTCATTATCACCTGGAATTTTCTAACCTTTGAATACTTTGGGGAAAGAGTTGTTATTAGTGCTGTCCTGTTGGTTCTGATTCATAGCGACCCTGTTGTATAGGGTTTCCAAGGAGCAGCTGGTGGGTTTGAATTGCCGACCTTGTGATACAAACCCAGTTGGCAGTCTTGTGCTTACTTACTCTACAGTGCGACAATAGGAAAGAAGTAAGGAAATGATTCATGGGGATCAGATTCTTCATCTTGGCTTTGTTGTTGTTAATAAAATGATGTCTAGTCAGTTCCAACTCATAGTGACCCTGTATAGGGCTTCTAAGGGAGCGACTGGTGTATTTGAACCACCAATTGAAACAATTTTGCAGTCTGACACATTAACCCACAACACCAAAACTTTACAGCTTTGAAGTAATATTTGAAACAAGTTGGTGTTGTCAATTTTAGAATATGGAAGAAGAAAGCCTGATGGTTACTAAAAACTATATAGATTAAATTATAATACAGGTTACAGATTATATTTGTTAGTACAAGGAAACAGACTGCAAATGAATGTATCATAATAAAATGTATTCTAATATAATGGTATAGTCCAGATTTCAGATAGTAAGCAGCATGAGCTTATTTTCTAGAAGTCATTGTCCATTTTAAAATATATACTTTAAAGTAAACTTCTGAGCTGCCACTGGGTGGGCTCAAAGTTATAACTGGAACCTCCAGTTTTTCAGTTAGCAGCTGAGTGCCCTGTTTGCACCATCCAGAAACTTCTTCCTTAGTACTTGTTAAATTTTCTCATATTTGTGGTATTCATTTAGCTTATTTTCTTCATTATTTAGGTATCCCTCCACCTCGTCCTGGCATGATGCGCCCACCTTTGGTGCCTCCACTTGGACCTGCCCCACCTGGGCTTTTCCCACCAGCTCCCTTGCCAAACCCTGGGGTTTTAAGTGCCCCACCCAACTTGATTCAGCGACCCAAGGCGGATGATACAAGCGCAGCCACCATTGAGAAGAAAGCCACAGCAACCATCAGTGCCAAGCCACAGATCACTAATCCCAAAGCGGAGATTACTCGATTTGTGCCCACTGCACTGAGAGTACGTCGGGAGAATAAAGGGGCTACTGCTATTCCCCAAAGGAAGTCAGAGGATGATTCTGCTGTGCCTCTCGCCAAAGCAGCTCCCAAATCCGGTCCCTCTGTTCCTGTGTCAGTACAAACTAAGGATGATGTGTACGAAGCATTCATGAAAGAGATGGAAGGGCTACTGTGACAGCTATTGATCCAGAAAAGGCTTCTGCTCACATCAGTGGTTCATGGAGAAAGAGGCTCTCATTAAACCTAGGTGAACGAGCGACTTCCACTGTCAGGGTATTTTCTAATTCCAGTGCAGGAATCTCCTAAAGCTTAGTCTTGGTCAGAATTTAAGGCATATGAGAGAGAGGATGTTTCATTAAAAATAGCTGGGTTATTAAAGCAGTGCTGCTAACATCCATTCCTTTTCACACAATTTTCATCCTGTTTCTTTCCCTTCTCCAGTTTTTTTGAAACATGATCAGGGGAGTCTTAGTTACTTACTTGTTTCAACTCTCTTGTGTGCTATGGGCACTGGAGTAGAAATTTCTGAGAAACCCGTTTATCTCGCCCCATCTTGGCTTTTGTGTTTGAGTTATTTTGAGTATTCTCTTGTAAATATTTTGTAATATTTTACTTGTAGTGGAATGGATCGCAATGTCATTTCCTTTTACAAAGCAGGCTTGTGGGAAGAAAATGTACAATTCTTTGATTAAAATTATTTCCCACTGACCTCAACTTTTATTGTTTCCTGGAAAAAAATAAATAAATGTTCCACATCAAGATATTCTCTGTTAATTATAATGTGTAAACCTGAAATCAGCTTTATGGACAGAGAGGCTGTATACACTCAGGTTTTGAGGAAATATTTCTGGTACTGAATGAGAACCTTAATGAAAATGTGGTCAAAAAAAAAAAAAAAATCTTTTAAATTGTTAACTTCTAAGGAATAAAGAGAAATATTTTCCTTCAAGATTATCATATTAACCTTAGAGAAATTAACTTCCTCCAGAACTTTGTGAATTTCTACTAATGAATAAACAAAAGGGTTCTTTTAAACAAGAAATTCGAGAATGAGCAAAAGTTACTCTTTTTTGAGTTTTTAATACTAATAAGCACTACAGTGCTTTTAATAGCTAATTTATCTACTCAAATAAACTAGGAACGTAATTTAAACAGGTATTTTCCCTGTTTTACAGGTGAAAGCATTAAATATTGGGAGGATTCATGATTTATCCGGTGGAGCAAAGCATGTTTTTCACACATGTGTACATATATACCCATATGTTTATGTATTGTTTAGGCAGGGCACACATATTAAGATTATCTTTACACCATATGAATCCTTGATCAAAAATTGCTAAGCAATGTCCTAAAAAGAGCATTAGATTTTCATTTTGGTATTTCTGTGTGTGTAGCTTGCTTTGGAAGCTATTTAAAGTCCTGCCTGTGAATCTGCAAGCCATTTAAGTCAGCAGGTGGATTGATTATAATTGATTATAATTATAAATAATTACATCATCTAATATTTTATAGTTATATTACCATAGTTAAATTGAATTATTCTCTGATGTTTGGTCTATGATATTTCCGTGGTTTTGCTTGAAATTCATATTCTCTCTGGGGAAGTTGTTAGTAAGGAAGCTGTTGACAATTCAGAAAGACACTTAACATAATAGTGCTAGTTTTCTGAAAATTCAGTAATAAAGTCAGGCATTTGATTTATCAGCTGTGTCTGCAGGAAAAGAGAATCAGTCATTCTCATCCTGGGTAAGCATCATTTTTACTTCATGACTTCATAAAAATAATTTGCTCATTGCTATGAAATATAAAAATCATTTTTCACTTCTTTTAAGTTGCTATAAAACAAGTATTACACTGATAATCTGCCATAGCATGGAATCCGCATAAAGCCCTAATGATATCCAAGGTTCTATTTAGTTTCTAGTCTCATAACTCATTTTGTGCTGTTAATGAAAATATTTCCTTATATATATGGCATACAAACATTTAGCAGTTCAGGCCCACTCGGAGGTGGCAATCTACTTCCAAAAGAACACAGCCATCCCTAGAGAGTCAGGACTATAGTCTTAGGGGACACCCTGGTCATAACAGTCCACAAAGACAGTCTTCTATATCCAATTTTGATGAGTAGTGACTGGGATTTTCAGAGCTCATGAGTGGCCCCTAAGGTGCAATTATTGGGCTCTGTGTGTAAGACAGAGTGATGAGAACTGACGATGTTTGGAATCCATTAGTCCAATGGGCTAACAGATTCAAAAAACTAGTTGTTCCCCAGCTACCACTATCAATTGTTCTGAAAGGGATCACATTAGAAGGTCTTGGCTAGAGTGGGAGAAAACAGACCAAAACAAAATATTTTAAAAACTAGGTTTACTGTCTGACTGGAGAAACGAGACGGTGGCCCTTAGTCAGTCTTTAGGTCTGGAACTGAACTCTTCTAGTGGCTTAATTCTTAGCCAGCCGGTAGATAGGTATGTGTTGTATTGTTTCCCAGGAGCAGCTGATTGGGTTGAACCACCGATCTTGTGGTTTGCAGTCCAGTGCCTTTCCTATAGTGCCACACCAGATAGGTATATTAAGTGCCATAGAGCCAGTTCCGACGCATAGCAACCCTGTATTGGGCTTCCAAGGAACAGCTGGTAACCTTGAATCACCGACTTTGCAGTTCAAACCAACCTTGCAGTCCAATGCTTCAAATCTGCAGCTATGACTCATGGTGACAATATTCACAACAGATTGAAACTGTCCATCCTCACAATGTGTGAACCTATTACAGCCACTGTGTCAGCACATCCCGTTGAAGGTCTTTTTTCCTGGCCTTCACTTTACCAAGCATGATGTCCTTCTCCAGGGACTGATCTCTCCTGATAGTTGGTAAGTGCCATAGAGTTGGTTCCGACTCAGCAACCCTGTATAGGGTTTCCAAAGAGTAACTGGTTAGTTGGAACTGCCAATCTTGTGGTTCAGTGCTTACCCTACAGCACTACACCACAACTCCTGGTCCCTCCTGATAAACATGTCCCAACTATGAGAGATGAACATTGTAGGAACATTCTGGCTGGCCTTCCAAGGTAAATTTATTCTTCTGGTAGTCCATGGTACTTTCAATATTCTGTAACACCATACGGCCTGCCTTATTCTCTACGGCCTAATTTATTCATTGTCCAACTTTCACATGTCTATGAGCCAACTTAAAATACCATGGCTTGGGTTAGGTACACCTTAATCCTTACTGTGACATTCTTGCTCTTTCACACTTTAATAGAGGTTTTGTGCAGCAGATTTGCCTAATAAAACTATGTCCTTTGATGTTTTGACTGCTGCTTCCATAGTCTCTTGAGTGTGGAGCCAAGTAAAATGAATCCTTGACAAATCAAATCTTTTCTCTATCATGTTTATTGGTCCAGTTGTGAGGATTTTCATTTTCTTTACATTGAGTTGTAATCAATACTGTTGTCTCTTCATCAGCAATTGCTTCAATTCTTAGTTTATAGTAAGCAAGGTGTGTCATCTGCATATCACAGGTTGTCAATGAGTCTCCATCCTTAAGTCACATTCTTTACATGGTCTAGCTTCTCAGATCATTTGCTCAGCATATAGATAGAATAAGTATGGTGAAAGAATACAACCCTAACACCTATCCTGATTTTAAACCACACTATTCCCTTTTCAAATAACAGGTTCCGCATGAACACAAAGTGGTTTCAATTTCTAAAATCACTTTTTATCGCATTCAAGTAATTCTTTAGACCAAGAAGATGCCATAATCAGCACCTAGTATAGAACTAGTTGCCTTGTGTTTTGTCCCTATCAAACTAGAGTAGGTCTAATATCTGAAAATGTCCCTGGAATTGGGAGAAGACCCTTATTGAAGGACTTCTGGGGCTCAAGGCTGTCATTAAGCAGAGTGACAGACAATACACGTCAGTGTTCCTTGGAGGCCAGGATGGCCAAACTTCGTCTCTCATACTTCAGACATATTGTCAGGAGGGACCAAACGCTGGAGAAGGATATCATGTTTGGTAACGTGGAGGGTCAGAGAAAAAGAGGAAGACCCCCAACGAGATGCGTTGGTCAAGTGGCAGCATCGATGGACTCAAGCGTGGCAACAATAGTGAGGTTGGCCCAGGATCGGGCAATGTTTCATTCTGCTGTGCATAAGGTTGCTACGGGTTGGTACCGACTCGATGGCACCTAAAACAACAAGTCCAGAGTCCAAGGGAATTATGAATTAACTCAAACTGTGGGGTAAATTTTTTCTTAATATCCCTGGAGGTCATCTGTAAGGCCAAAATAACCCTCCCTGAGGGAATCATGCTGATAAAGCAAAACCCCTCCTTTCACCTAGTCCATTGTTGTGTGCAGTAGAGTCGGTTCCGACTCATAGTGACCCTGCATAGGGTTTCCGAGTCCATATGCCCTCCTATTTCTACCTTCAGAACAGCCAAACTTTAAGACCCACTTAACAAGAGAACTAAAACGAACGACTTTTCGCCCACCACAACACTGGGGTTCCAAACTCACTGTTTGCAGCCCAGATATAGATGTTGCTGAGCTGCCTGGAACCAGAGCTGAGCTTGTCCTCAATAGCTGGATGCCACCCTCTGTGTTTACACTAGGCAAGCAGAAGTAGCTGAGGCACTACTGCAGGCAAGAGGTCTGGAGCACAATATCCACAACAGAAGCGCCTGAAGGAGATAGACCTCTGGGGAGATGTAAAGAGGGAGTACAGGCACTACTGCAAACAGGAGGACTAGAGTGTGAACTTTTCCTGTTGGGAGGAAGGGCCAGGGGAGGACTGTGTGTCCTGAGCATGCGGACAAGGCAACGCACCACCTGAAGTCCTTACACTAACACCACTGACCAGTTCTGCCACAGCTGGCCATCAGCAAGAGACGCCCTCTCCTCCTGCAATGTCCCTCCAGCGCCCTCTACTGGAAAGCTTGACATCTTAGTTACTGTAGTAGAGAAATGCGTGTTATGGCTAGAGCCTGGAGGCAGCCACAAATGAGCACAAAGAAAATCTAGTCCCTTCCACTTCCGTTATCACAGCCTAGTTATGAAATTATTAGCACAAATTCCTCTGACAAAAAATGAGTATTTCTCAAGCCCCTTCTGGTAAGTAGTTAGGCACTGCTAGCTGAAGGAGGTCTGATAGCATAGTGGTTACGAATTGGGTTGCTAACCTCAGGGTCAGCAGTTCAAAATTACCAGTGGTTCCGCGGGAGAAAGATGAGGCATTCTGCTCCGGTAAAGATTTACAGCCTCGGAAACCCTGTACAGGGTCACTATGAGTCGGAACTGACTCCATGGTACTCAACAACAACAGCTGAAGTATGGGAGTCTTGGTGTGGTGCTATGTGATAGGTCAGATTTTCAAAGCCATTTGAAACTGCAAGATTGGTGGTTCAAGCTCACCAGAAACTCCTTGGAAGCCTTATACAGGGTTGCTATGGATCAGAACCGACTCGATGGCACTTAACAACAACAAGAAGCTGAAGTGTACTAGCTAATGCTAATAAAACTTAAAATTTGCTTTTGTTTTTCAAAAGATCTCAAGGGAATTCCTCTCCCCCTTAGTTGACAGGCTCCCAGTTAGAGGTTTGTTAAATAGAACCAAGAAAAAAACTAGGAACACTGCTGAGAAACTCCAACAGAGAGGGTGTTGTTGTTGTTGTTGTTGTTGTTATGTGCCATCAAGTCATTTCTCACCCACAGCAACCCTGTATAGGATTTCCAAAGAGCAGCTGGTGAGCTTGAA